CCACCAAACTAATTTATGAAAAAAGAACAGAAAAACGACAATTTCTTGGCTTCCCTGAACCTCCAAAAATTTAGTTATAAAGTTATCTGACTTCCTGAAATTTCCAAAATACTAAAAACACATAACATTCGTGTCACATAAGTCCAGCAAACAAGAGCAACAAAATTCGGCCATAAAAAGTACAGAAATTCAACAGTTTGATGAATTTCACTTTCCACCAATCTTCGCCCTTTTTCTTTTTTATTATGTTAGCTTTCACCAATGCGCCATTAACAAAACTAAGACACTTCTCTGCAACTGCCAACACTGCAAAAAATTTTGAACCAGATATTGACCACAAATATGAAAGTAACCATACCTTCGAAAGCAAATATTTTATAAATTCTGGAGATCCTGGAATTGGAGTGTTCCCAAGCCAAAGTACACCATCAGCATCAAATATAAATGCGTCAACATTTACAAGAAGATCTTCCACTAAATCGCTGGATAACTGCGAAGGAAACGTCGGTAACTCTCTAAAAGTATGAGAAACGGAATGAAACGAAAATACACTACAAGTCAAAAAAAAAAATTTATTCTAGAACACGTGTCCACCTTTCGTTGTCAATTATTGTCGAGTTACAAACCCGGCATAGTTTTGTTTTACAAATTAGCACCTGAAACTCAAAATTAATGAAAAAACCCTCAAAGTAACTAAGATACTTCCAAATTCTCTTAATAAAAAAGTTTCTTAAGCTATAAGTAAAATTGAAGTTTTATCAAAAAATTAGATGAATCAACCTTTTCCTTCCCAGATGAAGACTCGACTTTAACTAACTCTGGATGTGCACTCCTCAAAATGCTTCCCGTACTCCTCCGAAAAAAAACACTTAGGTTTATTGAAAAACTTATAAAGTGATCATACAAAATTCAAAATCAAAACTATGACATTAAAAAATTTATTAGATGTCTAAAACGTATAGAGAAATGTGCATTAAAAAAATGTTTAAACAGTGATCAGAGAGAATTAAATACGAACTTACATTACTTTATAACAACCAAAGACCTCGGAAAGCAGCCCTAGTCTTCTCCCTAACATAGCTTTGAACCTAAATGAATAATTTGTCATTATTATTAGAATAAAAGTTATGAAGTTTTTCAGAATATAAACTCTAATAACTGAAAAAATTTTGAAAAAGATTAGAGCAAAATCCTCTTCAAAGAAAAAGACATTGGTAAAAAACAGTTTAAGAAACTAAATAAAACTCAAAGCGTCAGAAGTGGTAGTCTTACAATAGTATTGACATTGTAAAGCTTGGTCGTTCAACTACAGCTGATTTCTGCTCCAAAATAATATAACTATTTTTTCAAAACTACCATACCAAAGATACGTCTAGGTCCATTCTAACCACATATTGATATGTAAGGTAAATTGAAGACTAAAATACCGACACTTCCAGCGAGTGTGCGACACGGACAAATCTTAATTTTTATGTAACACTTCTGGTTCTCAGCTTTTTTCTTTGAAATATAGCCAGACTTGTCGAGTTCGAAGGATACCAAGCACCCCACGCCTGAATTTCTTAGCACCTACAAAACAGCAATTGCTCCATTTGTTTTCAACAATTAAAGTCATAAACAATTTATGAAAAAATTTTGCGAGAACAGAAGCATAAATAAAAAGTGCCGCAACACCAGCACCAGGTAATATTACAGAAGGAAAACATAAACTTTCACTCCACTGCTGCAATAGTATCGAAATCGAACGGAATTAAGGAAACAGAAATGGTGACACAGATATAGCACAGTACAAAACGAAAGTAAAACTATAACAAAAGAACTCGAATCAGTGGCTGCAAATAACCTTTTAGTTTTAAAAATACACTAATGGAATAGTTACCTCTTCTTATCCCCACAATATTAACGGTTTCAAGAGCAGATACAGGACTTCAGACGTCTGCGTAATACTGCCTCCAAATTATCGGCCCCATAAGTGTGCATTGTGCAGCAAAAAGCTTCTTGATGGAGGACAATTTGGCGGCTTGTA